TATTAAATGTGACAAACAGAAGCATAAAAGGCAGTAACAAACGTTTTATGTCTCAGAATCCCTGCTAGTTCCCAATTATTGCATTTTCATCCTGTGACGGCCTTTGAACAGCTCTTTTTTTCCTCCCCTTGTGTACACCCTGAGATTGGAATGCATTAAACATTATCCATGTGATGGCATAATGCTTTCTTCTCCCAACAGATGCTCTCAATATTTTTTTTTTTTTTTTGGTAGACACAAACTTCTAAGAGGGCCGAGACAAAAATGCAGAGATACCACTTTGATATTATGGCTTGGAGTTTTAATTAAATGAGAAAGAAGGCAGCAATTTTTAATCTCTTATGGCAAGACATATACAATATAGCGGGGAATAGACCTAAGAGATGATATAAAGTTAGAGCTGAAGTAACCTTTTGCAGGGGGAATTGCTCTCTTCCACAACCTCAAGGAGAATAGTTTCATTCCATTTCCAGGGTGTTTTAGTTACTGCTACTGAACAAAGGGTTCCCAAATGTAGTAGCTTTAAATAACTATGCTATTATATTTTATGATTTGGTGGATAAGGAATCTGGGTACTGTGCGATTCTTCTGTTACATGTAGTGTGGATGGTATTCAGCTGGTGAATGGGCTGGTCTGAGAAAGCTTTACTCACAAGTTTTCTTACTCCTCTCAGGCTGCTTTTAAAAATGCCATCAAAAGGGATGCTTTATAAGCAACAGAAATTTATTTCTCAGAGTTCTGGAAACTGGACATTCCAAAATCAAGGAGTCAACAGATTTGGTGTCAAATAATTTGTGGCTGTGCTTTAAAATAACTATAAAGGCCATTTGGCAGAATGATGTGCTGCTTTTATGACAGCTCAGATGTTATGGGTGCTAGGAAGACTTACCCTCCCAAGACTTAGCAATACTCAGAGTAATGGAGGTCACAGCTTTTTATGTGGGTTGCAAATTGGTGAGATGGGTTCTCCTGCCCATAGAGAACAGATCCTGAAACCAGGGCACAGATGTAGGTAGTTTCTTTTGGAAGTAATCCCATGGAATAGGAGTAGGGGACTAGTGTCTTAGTTTTTAATTGCTGTTAATAAAATAACTGTTAAATAAGGTCAAGTATTTAGCTCACATTTTTGGAGGTTGAAAGTCCATAATCAGGTGGCTTCATCTGTTTGGCCTCTTGTGAGGACCTTTTCACTGCATCACAACATGGAAGATGGCAATATAGTGGGAATGCACACTAGGTGGGGCAAGTGGCACCTGTGGAAGAGGGAATCAGAAGGTGACAGACACCCCTACAACAACCCATTCTGGAACTAACCAGGGTCCTGAGAGAACTAACTACACTGATCTCTTCTGAAGGGGATGCCTCTTCTGATCTAATTACTTTCCATTAGGTTGCATCTTGTAAAGGTTCCCCCACCTCTCACTTTGTCATACTGAGGATCACACAGCATGTTAACCTTTTGAAAACACACTCAAACCATATCAAAATCATAACAACTGGAAGAGTGAAACAGGGAAGGAGGGAGAGTCACTCCAAAGGTGCGCTGTCAACTTGGTCATTGCTGTGGGCTGCTGGGGCTGAATCCTGCTGGGAGTTTCCAAGGACTTAGTGGTTGCACCTCAGAAGTGTCTTTCTTGGGAACAGAAGATACTTACCAACTCCAATACTCTATTGTTCAGGGGCTGCCCCATGGGATGGATATTGGTTTTATTTTCTAGCTTTACCCATGCATGAATCTTGATGATAGCCCATATTGCATCAGAAAGATGTTGGTTCAGAGAACCAGGCACACAGTGAGCTGAATTGACACCAAATTACACATGCATATATCCAGTTGTCATAGCAACAGATGGTGTAAAAAGTGAACTCGGAGGATGCAAGATGGTCACAAGAAGGATCTGCTATGTGTGCACACATACTTGAACTTCCCAATTAATTAAGGCAAGCATATGGCCAAGGGTTACAACAGTGTAAGTGGATACAATATAGCTTTTTTCCATATTTTTCCTTCCCTGGGACTCCCCACTGGGCTGCTACTTTCACAGGGTATTCTCTCCATGTGAGTCCTTACCTGAGTTGAGAAAATCACTAAATTCTGGTTATAAAGCTCTCCTTTTCTCCTGAAGTCTTATATTACCATTCTGCAAGAGCTTATGTTGGTAATTGCCTCACCACTGATTAGAAAAAGATTTGCAAAGATCAGACTCTCCTGGTTTGTGAACAAATAGCCCTGACAAGGACCATGTTCTTATCCTAGAGGAGAAGCTAGTCCAGTGACCAGTCCTGGTGTCCCTGAACCATACCCCTGCTCTCCAATGGACAGGAAAACCTATTCCCCACAGTAGCAGACTAATAGCTTTTCTCTACTCTCTAGTCCTTACATGGGGGTTGACACTGATCATGGCTGTCAATACTTATAATTTTATCTGCTTGAAAGTATCAGAAGACATGAAATGGGAATGAAAAGATTGAGAAGATATTTGTTGTCCCAGAGGCCAATTTCAAGGGCCTTGGTGAGGAAATGATAAACTCACTCTGTTCTAAGTGAACCTATGTGTGAAATCCCTATTTCTATATGAAAAAAGGATGGTTCATCTCTTTACAAAAGACATCTCCAGGGAACTAATTTGCCTATGGAGCTCCCCTGGGGCATTTGTATTTGTGGTTTCATTTATTGAAAGCATAGGCCAGCATGGCTTGCTGTAATGGTTTGCAAAATGATTCTAGACTGTGGATATTTTGTTTCAATAAAAGCTTTTGTGAAAGTTCAATTTGTAACTCAGAGGGAAAAAAGGACTGCTCACATTCAATCTGGGGGTAGGGACCTGCCACTGTAGATTCTTCTCTCTAACTTCCTTCATTGCTCACCTTTTTTGATACTTGAGAGACAGCAACACATATTGCATGGCACCTAGAATCACAGTTTGGAAGACTCTGGGGTGTAGTACAAGTTAGGAATGTGTCCTGTAATGGAAAATCTGACAAGAGTGGCTTATAGAAGCTGAGAGGGCCAAGGCAGGAAGATTGCAAATTTGAGGTAGGCTTTGGCAACTTGGTGAGACCCTGTTTTAAAATAAAATTAAAAACAAAACTCTGAGAATGTAGCTTTAGTAGAGTTTGCCTAGCACGTGTAAGGTCCTGGGTACAATCTCCAGTTGTGGGTAGGGGGGAAAGCTGGGAGTTATTTTTCTTTAATTTTCTAGAAGTCTAGAAGTGGGTGACTGTTACTCTCTCAACAACCTAGGTCTTTTTTCCCTATTTCTACTGTGTTTATTCTATTGATGTGCCTTTTGGTTGCAAAATACCTAGTATAATCTAGACATCACATCTGAATTTAAGGCAGAAAGAATGTGGAAGGAGATTTTTTTTCCTTCTCAGGTTCTATCTTTTTGGGGGAGAGATGGGAAGTGACAACATTATCAGAAGACTCTTTTAGATGTCATTAGGCAGAGTCTGTGGCCATGCCTATAATCCCAGCAACTCAGGAGGCTGAGACAGGAAGACTTCAAATTTGATGTCAATTTAGCAACTTAGAAAGACCTTGTCTCAAAGAATAAGAGCTGGTATGTAGCTCAGTGGTAATGCACTCTTGGATCTAATCCCCCAACAAGCAAAAAAAAAAAAAAATCTCCTTAGCCGGAAATATGTCATACGCCCACAGAAGACCAATTCTGGCCAAAAGACACACAAGGACTGCTTACTCCATTAGAGATTATCCCCTAAGGCCAGGGAAAGGACCTTTCTTTGAAATCACAGAATTTGTTTCTTCAACACTTCTTCATTTTTTAGCAGGGGAGCAGGGAATGGGAAATGGAAGTTGGGTAGGCAACAAAGTGTTGAGCCATGGGCCAGAAAACGTTACTATTAATTCTAACATGGCTACTTATTGTGAAACATTGGATAAGTCACTTGACATGGTCTAGCTACAGTAACCTCATATATAAATTGAGGAAAATGGACAACATGAGTGCTATGTTTCCTTCTAGCTTCAATATTCAGTGGTTCTGTGCAATATTAATAACTTCTTGAATGTTCATGGCTAAACCAAAGTGGGATTGTAATTGAAACAGATGCCCTAATGGTGCTGTTCTGGCTCCAAGAACTAGCTTCTTGCACTAATTATGTGCTGTGGATTTCAAAGAAATTCACCCTTCTCCCCCCCACCCATCATCTTTCTAATTTTTAGAAGAAAATCAGTTCTCTATCTTCCAATAATTAAATTCCATATTTGATTTGTACAACTTTCCCTCATGTAATTCTCATTTAGTTTTCTTCTTAATAGAATAAAGAAAAAATTCAACCTTTCTGTTTGGCACAAAGCTCCTTCTAAGTAACAACAAATTATTACCAGATCTCTGACTGATTGTCCGATATTAAATGAAAGTTGTTGTCTTTTCAACATATAATTGCAATTAGCATTTGGCTATACTGTGTATACAGTTTTCACTCATTGCTAAAATGGGTGAAAAAAACCAAAAAACCAAAGGTTCCAATTGGGTGATGTACCTGTGGTTAGCACAATGTCTGGCTTTTGCTAATTACTCAGTAAATGTTTTTTTAATCAATGAATTATGATAAGCACAGATGAGCCAGAGTAGATGAGGGCAGAATTAATTGCTCAGAGTTAGATTTTCATAGGTTTAATGTCCTTGATGTCATTAAGGAGGGCATTGGAAAAAAGCTTACTTAAAACATTTGACTGATAGCTTATATTATTTGTACTTTAGTGGATGTATGAAAGAAAATCAGAAATAGTAGAACATGCCATGTCATTCATTCACTATTATTATACGGCCCTCTTGGTGTCAACTGTTCTGTGTTCACTTTTGTAGTGCCATACAAAAGTGAATAAGAGATACAAGAGTTCATGCTCCCGTGGAGCTTGCATTCTAATGGGGTAGACACACACTAAATAAATATGCAAAACTACTTCAAATACTGATTAGTGCTAGGAAGAAAATGAAATAAGTTAAAGAGATGGTAGGTGGATTGGGCAGTCATGGTAGACGTCTATGAGAAGGTAATTATATGGGAAGGAAAACTTTCCCTCTACCCCTGAGGATTCAATAATTAAGTCTATACAATAAACTAACAGATGTTGGGTGTGGTGGTGTTTGCCTATTATCCTAGCAACTTGGGAGGCTGAGGCAGGAGGATCACAATTTTGAGGCCACTCTCAGCTCTGTCTCAGAATTGAAAGGACAAGGACTGGGGATGTGGCTCAGTGGTAGAGTGTCCCTGGGTCCATTGCCCAGTACAAAAATAAGTAAACAAATGGACAGTAGGCAGGAGAAAAATACATTTAGTTATATGTGTATGTTTGGAAATCCCACAAAATATGAGACCCCAAGAAGGGTCAAATGATTGAAGTTTATATAGCATCCTAAGCTATAGAAAAGAATAGAAGCTTGGAGTTTGATGAGGGGGTGGTCATACAAGTTGGGAGACCAGTAAAGAAAACAATTGTATGGTGAATACAGATTGTCTTGTCATGCAGATAAAAAAGTCTCTCAGATGATAAGAGTTATGCAGAGCAACTCTCAGAAGAATAGTCCATAGTCTGGGCATGGTGTCAACTTTCAGTCTCCTGTGATAGGAAAGAGTCTTCCCTGGTTGATGAGATTCTCCATGGGGGATTCTTGATAACTGTATTCCTTTTGGAGGATCTCTCTTTAGGCAGATAAGATAAGGTCAGAGGAAGCTCATTCCGATATTTCCTGTTCCTCAAGTACCCTCAGTTTGAAATGGGGAGTGGTGTTTCCTGAACTTTCTCATTTCCACATAGACAATGCAAAAGGCTGATGTGATAGTGAGTGCATGGGGTGTAAAGAGTAATATATAGTGTAGTCATAGGAAGCTTCTTTGAGGAAGTAGCATTTGAACAGAGACCAGAAGGGAGAGGGACATGTGAAGAACTGATGGAACAGTGTTCCAACCAGATGGAGCAGGAAGTACAAATGCCCTTAGGTAGAAACAAGTAAGGCATATTTGAAGACAAGTAAGAAACCCCTCTTGTGAACAAGTGGGGGACAGTAGATGAGGTTAGTAAGGAGAGTTGGCCAGGGGCCAACAAGGACATTATTATTCTAACTGCAATGGAAATCTATTGAGCTTAAGCAGGAAAAGAACATGGTATGCTTTCAGTTTTGGTGAGATCTTCTGTCTCCTGGGCAGAGAATGAATTGTAAGGGGCAAAATCAGAAGCAAGGACATGTGTTATTTTGTGGGCCATTTCAGTGGGGGAAGATGATGTCATATGAACAGGGAGATGGGAAAAAGTGAATGGATTTGAAATCTATTTTAGAAACAGAATGATAAGATTTGCTTATGAATTGTGTATGGGAGTTGGTGAAGGAGGGAAAGGCACTAAACTTGGCCTCTGGACTTTAGGCTGAAGCTGCTGGGACGAAGGGTAATAGGAAGATGGGGGTACGTGGCATAGAGAAGCAGTTATGGTGGGGCAGTGGCTGGTAATCAGAAGTTTTGATTGGGAAATATTAGATTTGGTTTCCTTGCAGAAAACTTTGCTTCAAAGGTGTACTTTGAAGCAGGGGCTTTACGAAGGAGTTGTCTTAGGAATGCAATAGTTAAAGATGGGGGAAAAAGGGTAATCCTTAACAACCCTTCAATAACAGAATCCTGCAGCCTCTCTTCTTAAGTAGACAGAGATAACTCTTCCAGAGTAATCTCCCTGATCAAGAAAAGAATTGAGAACACACATGCTTAAGACCTTCAGTATGGGCTTCCCTAATCCCCTCTTCACCTTTTTGATCTGCCCAACCACTTACATTGGCAGAAAATCTAAGCAAATACAGGCAACTCTGTAGAGAAATGAATTGTGGGGAATTCTGCTAGGATTACCAAGATTAATGCAAAAGAAAAGAACTGTCCCCAAATAAGCACAAAATAAAATACCAGAGTGAGATGGTGTGTGTGTGTGTGTATGTGTGTGTGTTGGGGGGCAACTAGGTATATTTTCATTTTAATAAAGTAGAAATATGTAGGCAGGGATTATTTAAAAACATTTCATTTGGTTAAGCTATTTAAATAAAAAAACCTCTGTGTTAATTATAAATCAAACAGAAAGAACTTTGAATGTCTCTAAATTTGGGATCTGAGTTGTATGTTGTCAGTGGGGGTAGAAGGTGTGAGGACTAGAGTTGTCCAGGTATGATATCTCACAGGCCTCCCAGCTATAAGGTGTCACAATGTGGGGTTAAGGGAGGGTGAATTTAATAGCAGAGTCGTGTTTTGGTCCTAGGAAAATATGAGATTTTTCAGTGGCCCTCAGTATATTGCTAGGAATGATAACAGGTATATTTCATTTCAGGCAAATTGAATTGCTACTGTCTTTTCTTCCCCCCACTATAGCCAACTTCAGGATTACTGTACCCTTGAGTTAGGGGCTCTCCAGTGGATGATTCAATTCAGCTTTAGCTTTCTCTTCCTCTTTCCACTGGCAGGTAAAGTGCTGCAGAGTGGATGGGTGATAAGATTAGATCAGCAGGCACTTGACTTGGATGGCATATCTAAAGAGGCCTTGACTCTTCATCTCCATACGACATATACAGATGGTCCCCGACTTATGATGGTTCGACTTATGATTTTTAAACTTTAAGATGTTGCAAAAGTCATATGCATTCAATAGAAGCCACACATGGAATTTTGAATTTGGACTTTTTCCTGGGGTTAGTTGCTGAGAGCCACAGCTGAGTTGGAATGGCCCCTGGCATTTTGCCAATAGTATTGATTGACAGGCAAGGCATTATTATCCGCCTCGGCTGCTACTTTGCAGTTCTCACGCTACTTTGGAGTTCTCCTGGGGATTCCTGGGGATTCCTGGAGAGTTCCCATTGGTTGGGGAATTGCAGGAGGAGAGATTTCCGGAGGAGATATTTCCGGTGGCTGGTTCCTGGACGAGCCACGTGGGTTTCTGGATAGTTCCCAGGAGCATGTGTGGGGCATGCTGGTGGAGTTCAGAAATAAAGTTTGTTGCTGCTTCAGTGGCTCCTGGTGATTTGTGCCCAGCCAGACTGCAGCAGTTAGTACTATGTGATCCCATTCTCTCTGGTGATGCTGGGCAGCAGTAGAGAGTCATAGCTACCCGCCAGCTCTGAAATCATGAGGGGAAATAGCTGACACTCTATCGTGTGCTGTGCTGTTGAGCTGTTTATGTGGTCAATTAGGTGGTTTACCATATTTTCAACTTATGAGTTTATTGGGACATTATTGCATCATGAATAGAGGAGCATCTGTATAGGTTTTTGTATATATTAGTGTTTTTAAAATTGTGAGTTGCAACCCACTCATATGTCATGAAATGGATTTAGTGGTATGAACAGACCACAATATTAAAAAGTAAAATAAGATTAATAGAATCAGTGTGTGTTGTGCAGAGTAAGGGTAAGTATTGTTTCTTGAAACTTCATTTATAAATGGACCTATATGTTTAGGGTCATGACTTACAATGTAATTTTTTTTCTCCAGATAGTGGTTTTTTTTTTAAGCTTAAGAACTACTGCTATAGTGAATGTGGCCTCTGCAGTTATAAGGCTCAGGAGAAGAAGCTCAGCTTAATTAATTACTGAGTAATCTTGAGTGAGTTTCATAACCTCTTTGGGCCTTGCATTCCTCATCTGTGAAGTGGAGATAAAGACAGATCCTTCCTCACAGGGTTACCTTTGTTGAGAGGGTTAAAACCTTGACAGCAATGACTGACACATAAGTGCTCATTAAATGGCAACCATTTGGGCTGGGGATGTGGCTCAAGCAGTAGCACGCTCACCTGGCATGCATGTGGCCTGGGTTCGATCCTCAGCACCACATACAAACAAAGGTGTTGTGTCTGCCGAAAACTAAAAAATAAATATTAAAATTCTCTCTCTCTCTCTCTCTCTCTCTCTCTTTCTCTTTCTCTCTAAAAAAAATGGCAACCATTATGATGAGCTGTGAAAATTGGTTGTTCATCTATCATGTTAGTGTGTGTGGCAGGACAGATTCTGCTTAAGATGAATCATGTGGGCCTGTTTCTAGTGTGGAAAATGGGTGTGGTCCCAATGAATCCTACTTAAGCATCAATTTTCATTACAGGTCTTCTGTCTGGCAGGACATCTGATACTTGATTTCAAAACACTTTTTTTTTTTTTGAAAAGCACTCATTTCGTAGGATTTTTAGAATAGCATAAATTATAATTTGAGATCCATTTTCTTTTTGGAAAGGCATAAGATTGATAATAGTAGCTGCAGGAATGGGATAAGCTTTTACCTTCCCCCAGACCTCCTAGGATGTTGTTAGAAATACCAAGGTGCTGCAAGAAATCAAACAACATGCTTAGAAGTGGATGGGCAAGGCAAACTTTATTTCTTCCATGAGGATATGCTCCCAGAACCTAGCAAACACTGGTGGGTGGTCAGTCCACCTGCTTTCATCCCCTTTCACCCTGATTGGTGGAGCTCAGGGTTACAATCTATGCAATTGGCTAATTTTTAAATTGGGGTGGGCAAAGGGAAGAGCTAAATTAAAATGGCTGCAATTGGATCCAATTAAGGCTATATCCTGAAAACGGACCAACAGACTTTGTATTTCTCACAGCTGGAAGCACAGGGCTATGCCCTTTTTGCTTTCTGTGTGGTCTCCTCATTTGTTGAAGTCAGTTTTCTGCCTCTAGCAATTATTTTCTTTCCTTCAGGCCGTGCTTCTGGTAAACTCATCCACACTCTCCTGTTCTGGGTGGTTTAACATGATTAATAGTCATTTATTTGGGATGGCTTTTTTATTATCATGGCTGTGTTTAATTTTTTAACAGCTTTATTAAGGTGTAATTAACATACTATGAGTTCACCCATTTTAAATGGACACTTTAATGATTCTTAGTGAATTTAGAGTTGATAAACCATCACCATCACTCAATTTTAGAACATTTCCATCACCCCAAAAGAAAGATCTCTATGCCTATTTGTAACCCTTCTTCCCTTAGCCTCACACAACCACTAATCTAATATCTATTTTTACTGATTTAC